TGTTTATGTAACTTATGTGCCAGGTGTCCATGGTTTGAGTCTGTCTGTGTGTTTGAGCGCAGCGCCGTCTGCTTTTTGCAGTACAGTAACTAAAGTAAATTGGGACTAAGCATACCGGTAGTTTTCTGTGGACCTGTCTGTTTTTCATTTACTTCATTTGTAGCCGTAACCGGTCGTTTTAAAAATCTGTCCATCTTCGTAGTATGCTAGCCGTGTTATATATCTATGATGCTTACAGCGGCGCTCTTTGACTGACGTAACAGTTATTGTTGTTTCCACGGTAACGCGCTTGATTTTTAAATGTATCTGTTAGATTTGAACGTAATCTATGAAATATTTTAGATTGAAAAAAAAAAAGATTATTTGTTGAAAAAAAAAAAAAATGAAAAAAAATGATATCATGATAATTTAAATTAATGAATCTGAAAACTTTTCACGGACCCCCTGGCAGAGTGCCGCGGACCCCACTTTGAGAACCACTGCCCTATAGAACACAGGATAGAATTTAAAATTCTTCTTCTCATCTACAAAGCCCTTAATGGGCAGGCGCCATCTTTCCTTAAAGAACTCATTATACCCTACTGTCCTACTAGGGCATTGCGTTCCAAGAATGCAGGGTTGTTGGTTGTTCCTAGAGTCTCTAAAAGTACAATGGGAGCCAGAGCCTTTTCTTATCAAGCTCCACATTTGTGGAATCAGCTTCCAGTTTGTGTTTGGGCGGCAGACACCCTATCCGTTTTGAAGAGTGTGCTTAAGACCTTCCTTTGATAAAGCTTATAGTTAGGGCTGATTAGATTCAGCCCCTAGTTTTGCTGATAGGCTTAGTTTGTCGGGGGACATCTTACTTCTTCCTTCTCTCTGTCTATACCTGTGTACTCTCATGTTCCGAATAACTCAGCTTCCCCAAATTTCTTTTTTTTTGGTGTCTATATACGCCGGGATCCGGAGTCATGGATAATCCTGTTGCTGTGGTCCTGAGTCCTGGATCGCGAGCCCTGGATCTTGAGTCGTGGCTGTGCCTGTTGCTGTGGTCCTGGATCATAAGTCCTGGATGGATATCCTTGTGGATTCATCTTCCTATTATACACACATGCATTTCCAAACATTTGGACTACCTATGTTGCAAATGTATTATCTTTTCAATTTACTCACGGCATCTATTGCACGTCTGTCCGTCCTGGGAGAGGGATCCCTCCTCTGTTGCTCTCCCTGAGGTTTCTCCCATTTTCCCCTTTAAACTGTGGGTTTTCTCCGGAAGTTTTTCCTTGTACGATGTGAGGGTCTAAGGACAGAGGGTGTCGTATTGCCATACTGATATTCTGTACAAACTGTGAAGTCCACTGAGACAAATTAAACATTTGTGATATTGGGCTATATAAATAAACATTAAACATTGATTGATTGATTGATTGATTGATTGATTGATTGGTGTGTGTGTGTGTGTGTGTGTGTGTGTGTGTGTGTGTGTGTGTGAGGAGCTCTGTGGATTGGTAAGGGGACGGGTATTAACCAGAAAAGCATGTCATGGGACCTTTAAGTCATTTCAAACCATATAGCCTGTTGGATTGTTACTCAGACAAAACGAGACGCCACCTTTGTTCTTAATAAAAAGTTGATTTCCATTTTTCTCTAATTTATAATAATTAATTGAATAAATAGACATTGAAATAAATAACTCTTTGCTACTCCAAAGGCTTCAAGGAAGTGACAATGTGGCTGTGTTTATGTTTATAGAGAATGTCATTTAAATTGGCGTAGAAATGCGTCTCATGGTCTAGTTGCGTTTTATAACAACATTTTATTTACTTTATGACGCATAATGGTAAATGAAGTTTTTGATTAACCTTGAATGACATTTTTAACAAAGATCTACAATGGTATTAGGCATTAAGTATGTTTACTCAAGTACCTAATTAGGAGTATGTTTACGTATACGTAAACATACTCCTAATTAGGTACTTATACATAAGTACCCTAATTATATAATAACATTTTATGAACTTTCCATTTTCTCTGACTTTAGGCTTTTGACACTACATGTATCAAACATTACATTTTATGTTATTTTACTGCACTACATTTACTGTTTCTGTTACTTTGCAGATCAATGTTTTACATTAGAAAGTATTAAAAATAAAGTAAATATCTCCAAAATCTAAACTTTTCAGGATTTCTGTTTTTTTGTAATTTAACAACAAAATACATTTCAGGCAGTTGTATTTTTAAGAATACAAGTGTCAACCTATAAATCAGTATATCATTCTTCAACATTATTAAAGCGTGCTACCAAAATATTTGACGACTCGAATCATTTTCTATTACATTGAATTGTTTATTTCCTACTCCCACGTCACTTCTATTACACGTTTTGATCATGGTTTTGATAAACAGATCCTTCATTGTGGAGAGTACACAGCTAGTATAGGGCGGAACCATTGCAGCGGAACCATAGATTGAAAGTAGCTGGTTTCCCTCCGGATTACGTCAGTAACCGGAACAGCAAAAAGGCATGAGAGAAGAGCGACGCAGAAATGAATGGGTGCAAAAAACCTGGACATGTTGACAGTGTTATATCCGTAACGGCGTCATGTTTTCAGTAGTATAAAACATATCAAAAACACCTATGGATTTAACGATGGAGTGCGATATTTTGGACTCTTTGGAGGAGCTTGGGTAAGCTAATGTGCTGTTAGCATTTAGCATCAACAATCCGTTATCAGTCTGCGTGTTTACAAAAGGCAGAGTGGCTGTGAAAGCTATTTAGCAAGTTGTAGAGAACCTGGTGTAACCCTCCTGTCGTGTTCTGGTCAAATGTTAACTACTTTCATCAATTATAAATATTGTGTTATATGTTTTCTTTGCGTCAAGGCCTTATAATATCCTCCACATTAGGCATTTGAACACATATACAATTATAAAATTGCTGATTGCCACACTGTCAAAAATGACCGCAAAAGGAAATGAATGGTGTAACCCGAGTTATGTTCATCCATCAGATAGTAAACACCCACAAATCAGCAAAATGTTCATTTTGGAATACATTTTGACTGTCTATTCTTTGTATATTCACTTCAGTTATTTGTTTAAACCAGTGGTCTGAGACATTGTTTTTTACAGCTTAAAATGCTGTGCTGATTAACGTTTTTGTGTGTAAATGTAAGAGCAGTTAAAACAGACGAGAACACAAAAGTAAGGAGGGAGAAACGAACAGGAAAGGAGGGTTAACCGATCTAGTTAATATGTGGTGATTTGACTCTCCTCTCTCTCCGTAGCTACGCCGGTCCTCTGCTGGAGGAGAAGGCGCTGCTCGGAGCCGCAGAGGGAGGCCTGTCCTCTCCGGAGTTTGTGGAGCTGTGCCGGTGGCTGGCCTCCAGGCTGAAGTCGCTGTGTGATCTGGAGGAGAGCATTATTTCCGGTCCAGGTTAGCTCACCTCCATTCACACCTGATTGTGATACTCAGAAGTCTTGTTTTCCTCTCAACCTGTTTCCTGTCTGCCTCCCTCTAGAAGACTTGGACAGCCTTCAGCTGGAGATGAGTGGTCTGCTCAAAGAGCTGCACTGTCCTTATGGAGATCTAGTTTCAGGGATTCTCAAAGGCAGTGTGCAGAATACAAAGGATCATCTCAAATGTCTCTGTATGTAATCACATCCTACTGCTTATTCCATTAATTGTTCTACAAGTTGTCTGCATGTTCAGTGAGTCACTGACATGCTTTGTGTGTCTTATGAAGTGTTTCTGAGCTCTGAGCTCCAGGCGGCTCAGATTGTGAGGAGCAGAGCAGACTCTCGTAAACAAGAAGAGGGTCCTGTTTGGGAGGAGCTCCTGGTCATCTGTGAGACACTGAACCTGCCGGGGCCCAGAGGACAGGACGCAGCAGTGGTTCTGTCTCAAGTCCAAGACAAGGTGGGACTATCTAATATCATTTATGTCAAAGCCACCAGCATTTCTCTGTTAGTCTTAGTCCTCAAAGCTAGCAAAAATGGTGTGCCGAGTGCATAATATTAACAAAGTGGTTTGAACATTGTTGTATATTATATTATTTGTATATTCAAACCACTTCTCGCAGACTTGCATTGACTTCCTAACACATTTCATATTGATTTAAAAAAGTTTATTTGCAATGTTTAAGGCTTTAAATTGATCCATAAGTACGTTTTTTAATTAGCTTTTTGCTTGCCATTTTCTCATAGGTCCTGTTTGCAATACTATCTACCCTTCAACTTGATCTTGTCTTTACCTAAACACTATTTGTAAATTAAATGAACAATACACTTGTTGTGTGTATGACAGACCCTGTGTGTCATTATAGGTTGAAAAAGTACTTAAAGAACTTCCAGGTGGCTCCATTGAAAACCCAGTACTAAAGACATCTCTAGACAGTGAACAATGGGTAAGTGGATACAATAATGAAATCGACCACGTTAAAAGCTATTATATATCTGTATATTAGTAGCTAGGTGGGTTTATAATGTTGTTGTTTTTTATCTCTGCAGGAGAAGTTGTCCAACATTAACGCAGCTCTGTCTTCAGAGTACGAGTGTCGGCGCAGGATGCTGATCAAACGGCTGGACGTCACAGTTCAGTCCTTTGGGTGGTCGGACAGAGCCAAGGCATGTTTATATAAAACCTACACATCATAATGTTCTTTGTCCTCTTTCTCCATCACAGGGGAATCTAAACTGATGACCATATGGGGAAGATGGTGATTCTTTAAAGGGGACCTATCATGCAAAATGCACTTTTTTAAGTCTTTTATACATAAATATGTGTCCCCGGTGTGTCAGGGAAGTCACAAAGTGTCAGGAAATAAAACCCTCTCTCTTTTCCTCCGTACCCAAATCTCTAAAAACGGGGCTACAACGGAGCTGATCCAGATGTGCGTCCGATATGACGTAATATCGGAAATGTGGGCTGGCTTTTAATAATGCGTGACGTCTTTTGGAAGTAATATGGTCTTTGTTTACATTGGCTATCGCTAACACTCAGAGCTAACCTGTACTGGAGAGAGCCTGTGTAAGCAGGAAATAAAAAAAGTAACTCACCGTTTAATCACAGCAGCATTTAGCTGTATCTCGTAGAATTCTGAGCAGGCACAAGCTCCCCCTCCTCTTTTTTATATGGGATATGAGGGATGTCTAAAGTGCATGATCTGTTTGGTATTTTGAGCAAAAAACATAGACGTGTTTTTTATATATCTGAGACTCATAATATATGCCTAAAAATGGCAAAGTAATGTGTGTTTAGCAGCTGATTTAACCCCATGTGTGCCTGTGGTTGTTAGGTAAGGGTGGACAGCATGGCGAGGGCCTACCAGCCCAGGAGACACTCTCTGAAGCCTCAGTCCACCGTGGACATGGCCCAGCTGCTGGCGGCCAGAGAGGACATCTGCAACGTGGTGAAGACCAGCAGTGGCTCCAGCACGGAGAAGACCAGCTGCGCTGTCAACAAGGTACAGAAGAACGGTTCCTTTCTGTCAACAAAATGCCATTCATTCGATGTTTCCCAACCATTTCTATGTCCACTTGTCCGCAGATTCTAATGGGGAGGGTCCCGGACAGAGGAGGACGACCCTCAGAGTTATCAGCCCCGGCTCCTGAGATGCCACCCTGGAAAGAAAGAAAAGATGGCGGATGCGGTGGTGGAAGAGGAGGAGGCAGTTGGGGAGGGGGTGGACGGGGTGGATGGAACCAAGGAGGAGGGGGTGGACGGGGTGGATGGAACCAAGGAGGACGGGGTGAATGGAACCAAGGAGGACGGGGTGAACAAGAAGGAAAGAAAGGACGGTACCAGTATTAGTTTCGACCGACACTATCTTGTGTTTTTTTATAGAAGTGATCAAAAAATCATATTGGACATGAACTGAACTCCACCGAGGAAGAAAAAGTAACAGTATTTCTACTTTTTAATTTGTGCTTCATTTTGCCTTTTTTATTTTCTCATCTCATCTCTCAAAAATAACAGCAATCATTTTAGAATTTCTTTTGCACAGGAGCAAATGATTTAACAGCGGCATTGTGCCACAATTCTGTAACTGTGTCCCAAATCCATATTTCATACTGACTAAGGATGCTTCAGTGTGTATTGTGTTTAGACTGTACACGTAACTACATTTAACATATTTAAAGTATATGTATTGAAGCAAACTTTTATTTTTGGGTGTTGATGGACCCTGTCCTCCCAAAATGCAATGAACTTAAGAAAAGGGTGAACTTCCTTGTAAAGCGACCTTGGGTCTCATGAAAGGTGCTATATAAATCCAAGCTATTGTTATTAACTGTTTAACTTTAAAACTAATAGCAGATGTTCGTCAAACATTATAATCTGGGGAAAACTATATCCAGTTCAGTAGGTGTATTTTCTTTTATCATATCTGCAAAAAAGCCTGAAAAGGAAAGGATACTATGAAAATCTGTTTATTGTATACATTTTGGAATTTGGGACACGGCTTACAATTCGACAGATATCAGAGGGAGGAGCCACCGATGAGATGAAGACACTACACATGTTTTTTTCTTGGCATAAAATAACACGCTACCCTTTTAATCGTGTGTTATTGAAGTGATAAAGGGATTTAAGGATAGAGAACACATCTGTCTTTGACTGAAATCACTGCGACCTGTTAGAAAACTGAGGATCAGCTCTCGCCTCATTTCCTTGAAGATTCTGTACCAGCTGTGATCTTTTCCAACTCTAAATGTATGTAATAAAGACCTTTCTAAAGTAAACTTATTTTGATGCAACAGATATAGAAATAGATGCAGAATAATTCCTACCACAAGGGGGCATGTGTGTGATGAATTAAATAGAGAAACAATGTATTTCCAAATATTTATTCTTGGCTGAAAAGATTTTCTACACTTTTTTCCAATGGCATACCATTTCTTGTTCAATAGATAGTTTATACAGTTTGTACAATAACCAATATTCATAAAAGCAGAATTGTACATTATGAACAACAGACCTGTACATGGACAACAGTTACACCTTGGCATCCAAAATCACTCTTCAGTCTCCTCCACACTAAGACTCATTCAGTATCTTCAAACCAAAAACCTGAAGCAAATTCATACGGGTGTTTAAAAAGATCCAGTTTAACTCATCTCAACTTCAGTTCAGATGAGTTTCCTCCAGTTAAGTTAGATCACTGCCCACGCGTCTGACACCCACAACAAGGTAAGACAAATAAGGGGTTAAAAATCACTTTGGCCACATTATAAATTAAATTGTTGTCTTGCATTGATAATAAAGGCAAACATATTTCTAAAAAGTAGTTTGACTTTATGTAAACTTCGCCTGTACGCATTGTTCCTGGACAGGTGAATTCATAATTGGCTTTAAATACGCTCTGTAGCTCGAGCAGGAAAGGAAAGTGTTCACTAAAAGTCAGGATGCTATTGTAACAGCAGGAATAATAAAAATAAAGATAGTCAGGATGTCAAAGTGTCACTGAGCACTGTTGTTTCTCAATACTGTCAAATGGCCCCACTGCTCCATTTCTATGTATTTAACGATGGCAAAAATGTCACTACTGAAGGGTTGAACCAAATTAAATGATTATTATGATCATAGTTTGCCATTTCTGTCCCTAAAATGTATTGATTGGCGGTACAAAAACATCACTGCAATCAAACAAGCATTAAATTACACTGAGTAAGAAAACTAATACATTTCCTTCTTATGATGCAATAATAGTCCTTTTTAAACGCAGATATGTAGGCACTTTGTCTTGTAATAACATCTTAAAGTATCTTGATCTGGCTAAAATACAGCACTCGGATTTCTCATTGTAAAAAAATAATGAACAGTACAAAATGATTTATCCAATTTGACTTTTGCCTCGCACCTGCTTCTCAAACCCATCAATCCACCATCTCCCATCTTTGAGGATAGGAGATGGTTCCTGTTGTGTTTTGATAACGTTTGGTGGGTAAACGTTTTTTACCGAATCCGGCTGTACGGTATCCTTCTGTATCATGTCACCCTATGTTCCTATTAAATTAAATGCAGGTACAAAACCTTTGTGCCACCACAGGCCAATGATGAAGTTCAAATCCACCTGATCTGGGCTCTGTAATAAACCTTTATATGAGTCACATGATACTTTAGCTCTTTATCCACTTCATGACTACAGAAACGTCCTTCATTATCAGAACCAATGTTCTTCTTCATTGAAACCCATCTATCCTAAAGAGTTTCAGAATGCAGCTTAACATTGGTTCATCGTGTACAGCTAAGTACTGTAAAAGTGCTGGGCTTTATTAAGCAATATTGTATGTAAAAAATAATATATATAATACTGTTTAGAGGCAGGTCGTAAGTCTTTATGCTCCTTCATGTGGCATCGCTTCCTGTTTGTGTATCCACACATCCTTCCTTCAGACGCCTGACTTTAATACTTGACCAATCAGAGTCCTCAGAGCGCTACAGTGAGCAGTTTCATACAGCTGCTGCTTCATCATCATCATCATCATCACAGTGCAGTTTGGCATAAACCTGGGGCAGACTCCACCCTTCAATAACCTGTGATGGTGGTGGTGTGTGCTGAGGGTTGAACACACACTCATATGAGCCTGGAGTTGCGGAGGTACTGGATGATGACCTTGTAGATGAAGGTGTACTGAGAGAAGGTCTGGACCATCATCATCCTCTGCTGACGAAGCTTCAACAGGAACTTTGGGACATCCAGCGCCTGAAACAAGACGAGCAGTTAGTACGAGTTTCATCTAGAAACACGAGACGTTGAAAGAATATTGACTCCAGATGAGGTAGGGTGACCAGGTGAGAACAAGCAACATGTGGGACAAATAGGACGTTTTCTGCGGGACATGTTACTGCTTTGCAAAGAGCTGGATTAGATGTATATATAACGTCTATCTAACCCTTAAGAATAAACATTTCTATTAAACAATCTGTGCTGTTGTATTTGCTGTAAAGTGTCTCTACTGTAGGCTATTTTTATTTTATGTACAGCACTTTGGCTCGACCAAAAATCGTTTATAAATGTGCTATATAGATAAAACTTGATTTGATTTGAAACTATTAGCTTATAAATATGAATAACAACGCTTTACTTTGGTTTAATGTTTGCACAAACTATGCAAGTGAAGGAATTAATTATATTTGTTTTGAACAAATTATTATGACAAAAAAATGACCGGAGCTAGCTTACTGCCAGTCTGCTGACCTGTGTGCTAAATGTTTATTAAATCAGCTGCTATTACCTCATCTCTTTTGGTTTCAGGAGGAATATATCCATAGATCGATATTTTCTTTATGAGCCAGGCGTTTCTTGTGAGTTTCGGTGAAGCGTCGCTCAAACCATATTCACCTCCATGCGCAATTTAACAGAAATTCTGGCAAATCTGACAATAACTCCCTCCACCGACTACACCCATAAGTTAATACATTTCTCTGTTGATTGATTGACATCTGACACAGCTAATGGTGAAATGCGGGACATCGGCTAAATGTGTGGGACAAATGATCAAAATGCTGTGCAGTCCCGCACAAAGCGGGACACCTGGTCACCCTAAGATGAGGTCGTCTTTTCAGCGGGGACGTTACCTCGTTGTGCTCCAGACAGGCGATCATGACCTCAGACAGGATGACCACCCCGGTGCGGCCCACCCCCGCGCTGCAGTGCACCAGCACCGGCAGGTTGGTGTTCTTTGGCTCACTGATGCTGTTGGTGTGTCTCCTCACAGACTGGATCTCCTCCAGGTACGCTGCAGAAACATGAGGACAGCAACTTTAAGTAGGGACACAATCAATGAATATATCCAATACAAATCTACTTAGTAACTTTCTTAGAGAGTTCCAATACTATCTAAACAATTACTTTTCAAAGAATCTCCGGGCTCTATTACAATACATTTAAAGACAGGGTTGTGTGGGACAAGGATCAACGTTAATACTGTTACAACGCTGAACATATACTTAGGCTTAGTAAAATAGAATACAACAAAAATATATACAAAATTCAGGCACCTTCAATTATCCATGTCTATATTAATCTAATAAAGACAATATTTAAGGCATGGATTTTTTTTCTTTCAAATTCCCAAGCTTTCAAGGAAAAGGGAACAGTGCCTATTCATCTAAGTGAGGCAGATGAGTAGAGTGATGCGTTAGCCATTTCATGCCAAATATGTCATCTGAGATCAGTTTTTAAGGATTTAATAAATGCCAGGAGAGAACTTAACATTTTATTGTTTACGACTATGAGAGTTTAACTCAATTTCCATCAAAACTGGCCTACTATTATTAAGTCAAACTAATGATGCTACCAATGAATACACATGTTCAGTCTTCCTGGTAGATATCTGAACATAAAGCATGTAACGGATAAACAGATATGGGTCCCACTCACTGAGGAAGCCTTTGAAGTCCTCGGGGCAGCCGTGGTCGGGCCAGTCCGTGTACTGCAGGTGCCAGACGGTCCTCTCCTGGCCCGTCAGCAGGTGTTTGATCTTCAGCCCGGTGGTGGCGTAGCAGCCGGACTCTGTGCGGAAGCGCGTTGTGATCTTGAAGCGGCCGTACGTCACCGTGTTGTGACGAGAGCCGAGGCGCGGCCAATAACGGAAACTCTTTTCTCGGCCGCTCTCCTGGAGGAAGCAGAGGACAAACAAAAGGTCAATCGAGGTAATGATGAGGAGTGAAAGAAAAAATGGGGTGCTGTTAATATGAAATCGCACCTCTTCAGCGGTGACCATGGCGATGATGGAGACACCCTGTTCCCACACCATCTGCCAGAAGTCCGGACATGTGTTGGACATCGGACCCTGCGTCGCTATGTAGCTCCACTCCTGCCCATTCACCGTTATCTGATGAGAGAGGAGAGGGGGATATGTTTCAGTCACCAGTCACAGGTACTCATCATACATTCTCTAAAAAACACAACTAGAGAACAGTATAGATTTTTGTTGTTGATTGTGTCATAGATTTGATAATGAAGAGTGAATGAGAAGCAGCAGCAGCCATAGAAACAGAGTCATGGGTTTGTTATCAGAGCTGGACTTTGATGGTGTTTTTTTTAGACTTTGTTATTCAAAGGATAGAGAAAGTTTAGTGTTATCATGCTTAGCTTACGTTTTTGGAATATAACTTACTCTTCCCAACCAATGACTTAATCATATTCATCAGTCCCTCACAAATCCTGTATTTAAAGCAGGCCATTCTTAATCCAACTGTATTTCCATTGCTGTTTAAAGTCAGTCCTGTACTGATGATGTGTTCCTGCATGTGATTTTCTGCAGGTGGTGGAGAAGCAGCTACATAGTAACAGCTGTTCAAACACATAAAGCCACCCTTGATCTCAAATCAAAAAAAGAAGGAACAAATAGTCTTTGTATTGGAAAGCCAAACCGAGGTAGTGGCATGGTTTTGAAATGTATACCTTTGCTCTGAGTCAGACAGTAATGTCAGTGTTGTGGAAACACTTAATTATATATCATTTTACACTGACATCACATGTAGAATGACATAATGGTAGGGCGTTTCTTTGGAATGGATTTTCTGGAAAAGCTTATCAGCCTGTTGTATTGACGTAACAATGCATATTGATTTTTGCCATTATTACCCAACCCTACATTCGTAGAAAGACAAATAAACCAGAGGCAACTTCACTGATCATCATGAGCAGACGTTTCTGCTCCAAGTGCTTTGTTGTCCTAATTATGAAACAAAATCAGGAACATGTGATATGTCATGAGACAAGACAACTTACTCTAACATGTGATGCGTTGATGTATCCCGTGTTGTTCTCTTTAGTGGGAACCAGCTCCACTCGGGTGTCATCGTACGGCATGACGTCCTGGAAGCGGTTCTTGTCTCCGCTCTCCGGCAGCTGGGCGATGGAGCACCCCCCCCCCGGGCGGCGCTTCGGGATGCTGTCGTACTCCTTCAGCATCTCTCCTCTCTCCATATGCTGCTCCAGAACCTTACACTAACACACACGAGGACACAGGAAACAATGGGTGATGCAGTCCTGACTCCTAAACAACCTTCCCCTGTTTGGACTTCCTTGGCCCAATCCCAATTATGTATACATACTAGGGGTGTAACGGTATACCGAATAATTTCGGTACGGGCCCTTCGGTGTACCGAACGAATATAACGTTAAACGTAAAAAATTAAGAACGTGAACAACTTTTTGGAAGTAATCTCAGGTGCTGCGTCGCAGCATTCAGAGTCATTTGCTCACATTGGGTTCAACGCGTCATAGAGCGAGCAAGTCATTTCATTGGACGAGAGACATACTATGAGAGCTGGTCACAGGGATGCGTTCAAATTTAGCCAGTCATTTGAGGAACTGTTGAAATGGCGAACGCAGATAAAGTTGAGCTCGAAAATCCTTTTGGTTTCGCAGTTACGTTCAAGGATGACGGACAAAGACAGGTTGACCGAACCAAAGCTGTTTGTCGGCATTTTTCAACTAACATTGGTTACGCGGCTGGCAATACATCAAACGTGCACACTCATTTGAAAAGGCATCACCCGAACGTGAATATCACCGGTACCAAAAGAAAAAAGACTGAAGTGCAAACCCAACTCCCACTAGCATGTTAGCCTCCACCACTCGCAGAGAGTTCAGACCGAGCCAAAGCTATTACAAACGCTAAATATCCTTATGTTGCCATGTTAGCAAAGCGCTACCTGGCTGTATCTGCTACCTCTGTCCCTAGAGAGAGGGTGTTCTCCACAGCAGGAGACATTGTTAGTGCCAGCAGATCTGCCCTTTCGGCAAGCAATGTGGACAAGTTCATCTTTCTTTAAACAACATGAAAATACAATGACAAGCAAGTCCTAATGTCAAACTGGCTGCTTAGGTGCTAGTACAGTACAGTTCAAATACAGATTATTTCAGTTCATCGAAATGCTGCACCTTAATGTTTATTTTATTATTATTTTGTATTTATTTGAGTGAATATTCACAGTTTAATAATAATAATAAAAAAATATATATATTTTATGTTTTGTGATAATTGTTTCTGCTGTACCGAAAACGTACCGAACCGAACCGTGACCTAAAAACCGAGGTACGTACCGAACCGAAATGTTTGTGAACCGTTACACCCCTAATACATACTATAAACCCTGCAATGACATATACAGTCCAGTCCACACGGCGGCGTGCGTTGAAGCTTCAACGCTTCTGCCCATTCACTTTGAATGGGGTGACGTCACGCTTTGCCGAACTGCATTGTGGGAGCGTTGCTTCGCTTTGCTCGCTTCAAAAGTTGAGCAATGTTCAACTTTTGAAGCTTCGGCGGAAGCGTCAGCCAATCAAATCATATGCCAGTACAAGCTCTAGCCAATCAAACCGCGTGCTTGTGTGTGCGGGGCGGGAGATTCATGTGATTGGTTGTTGGTCGAGTTTCAGACAAGCTCACCGGCAAGCTTCAACGCACGCCGCCGTGTGGATGCTGCGTAACAGGTCAGAATTAAATATGAGTCGGCAGAGACACATTTTCATAAATAGGATTATCCTAACTTTCTATGATTATAGTTTTACTTTCTATAAAGGGAAGAACTACTCTGAGTTGTGCTTGCTATAAGAGGACAAAGCTTTCAGTTGTGAATGTTATCAAAAGACTGGGTGTAGTTTAAAAATGTTCTAAACCCAGCATCATTTGATCTTGGTACAAACAAGTCACTCATGTTAACATTTACTCCTTAGGTATTGAATGACAAGGCATTTTTCTTTTTCTGGATAGTATGTAAGAAATGTGGTTGTTGCTTAAAAGTTTAAAAGTTCAGCCCCAAGACCCTAACCGGAAAAACATGTAGCACCATTCTTGCTTAGTTATTTTGGAAACTTTCAAAAGCACTAAAGGAACATTCAATATGCTCATCTAAAAGATATAGATGTGCAATAGTGGAGTTTTGCAAATGATGAACAGACGGATGACACGAGGAGATGAATTATTTCAATAAGTAAAGAAGCCATGTAGAAATAATAACTAAATAAAGAAATGTTAGTGATATGTATGGTTGACATTTTCATCTTTCTACAATCCTGTGTGTATGAGATATTTGGGAATCTACTGTATGCTCACAGATCACATTCTCAACATATACATTTATTTTGGAAATGGAAATGTAACATCGGTGTTAAAGCAACAAGCATCAAGACTAATTAGGCTGACCAGTTGAGCTGCGTTTAACCTGCATAACAAGAACATTGACAAAACGTTGTCCCCATGTACCTGTTCAACAAGGCTTCACCTAGCAGCAGGTGAATATAAACACAAACAGTAGAACCTGCGAATGAGTACAAGCATACTGTAACACATCTGACATATCTTAGCTTTCCATTGCCTACATACACCCAACTAAGTTTTATTTGTAAATCTGTCTGTCAAGAAGCAAACCATTACGACAGAAAGTTGTCCTACCCTCTCTTCATTGGATGCTCTCTCAGGCTCATCCTTCACCTCTTCGTGCATCGGCTGCCTCGACACCGACAGGCCGTTTAGATAAGCCTCTTTCATTGGGCCCCTCTTCTTGAACTCTGACCTGGCTCCTTTCTTCATGCCCTGGTGTGACAACAGAGAGGAGACAGAGAAACAGTGAGGACGATGTGTCGCTGTGAGGGAGTCAGCATGCAAGAGGGGCGGGACAACGCAGCCTGCTGGGTGTTTGCTCAGGGAATGTCACCTGGCCGGTTTTACAAGGTACTCCAGCTACATTCTTTGTTATAGTGTGCGTGCTTGCGTCATTGAGAGCTGGCCCCTGAAACTGACTCCAACACTATGTTCAGACTACCTAATGTTATCTTGGTGCATACTCATGTGACTTTCAAATGAGCAAAACACATGTCTGAGAACAAAACACTTTTATAGCAAGCTCGGAGTAGGTTTCCTGAGGTATTATTACAGTGCAACTACAAAGACATTTCAGAGCTGGACTGTGATAAGATGTGCTAAGTAGGGATGGGAATTTGAAAGCAAATTTATATTAGAATATTCGACCCCAAAAAAAACGGTTAACAGAATTTACATATCCTATAAATGTTTTTGTTTTTTTAAACTTTAAGAAATTAAAAAAAGGTTTAAATAACATTTCAAATAAATATAGAAACTAAACCAAGTTTTCTTTCATGTATTTCTTAAGATATTTTAAATGGCACTGTCGTATTATACATTTAATTCATCCATTTGATAATATGTAATCAACTTAGGCACCCCTCCCATAAAAACAAAAGGAAAATAAATTACAATAAAAATATTCATAACTCATATTCGAATACTTGAATCATTTTGAATATTCGATGAATCATTCCCATTCCTAGTTGGAAGACCACAATAAAACAAATAAATAGCTGCTATATCCTCAATCTTGCTTTCATGCCAATTTGGAATACAGAATCCTAGAGAAATACGATATCTATAACCAGAGGTGGCCAGGAGAAATGTCTAAATGTCATAAGGATTATTAACTACTGCACTATGCTGAAAATGTGATGGAACTGGGAACAGCACTCACCGGAGGGGGCAACCCTTCCACTGTTTTCTTCCCGGCAGGCACATCAGACACAGGCCTCTTCTTGAAGTCTTTTTTAGTCTTCTGCTTAGCCTGGCCACTCAGGTCCCCCTCAGACACAGAGGGCATTATTCTGGGCTGTCGTAAATCTGACAGCAGGTAGAGAGGCTCGCCCTCCTGGCTCTGGGGGTGAACGTTGTAAGTCAAGGAGCTGGTTATAGAGGGGTCCAGAGAGGAGCCGATGGGATATGCAGGAGGCGGCTCTGAGGGAGTTTGCTGCTGAAGGAGCGACAGAGGTGTCAAACTGTTGTGCTGTTGGGGCGGCTGCACGGGAACAGCTTCTAGTGCATCCTGGGAAAGAGGAGTGTGGCGTCCACTGTCCTCCTCGAACTCCTCCTCTTCCCCACTGCTGTGAACCAGCATGGTGGCGTCGGAAAGGGACTTCTTGTGTCCGTACTGTACGTCCTCCTTAATGTCGCCCCTGTCGTCCGTCTTTATGCGTTCCAAATACACGTTGAGATGAGATCCTTGAGAGCGACCGCCTCGCAGGGGGGGAGGGGGCGTGACGGTTTCGGCGGCCGAGGAAGACACGGTGCGCTCCTTCACCCTCATCCCCTCCAGACTGTGTGCTAATCCAGCGATCTCAATGGAGTTCCGCTTCTGAGTGTGGTAAGGGTGTCTCTGTGGGGGTCCGCTGAAAAGAGGCTCCGACACCTCTTGTAAGGAGTGGGCTACCGGTAGGCTGTCCTCCTGGAAGGTCTGGACCGAGTGGTGCACACGCCTGGTGATGATCAGGTCTGGGTTGCTGCTGCTGACGTAGAGGTGACGCGACAGGTCAGGGGTGCTGTTAGCGGGCCGGGGATGGGCGTACGGGTAGGGGGGAGGTGGTCGGTACACATGTGTTCTCATGATGTTAGGGGCGGGGTACTCCTGTGCCTGTTGCAGCTGGACATTAGTGAGCTCCGGGACACTGACCGCCCCCACTACGGGCCTTCTCTCTGTGGGATAGGGGTAAGGAGAGGGGCTGTGGAAGCTGGAGCCCAGGTGGAAGGGATAGTGATGGTGGGGGGCTGCTCCGCCGTGCTCTCCTCTGATCTCTGGCTGGCTGTAAACTAGAGGGTCCGGTCTGCTGTAGGCGTACGAGTTACCAATGTTCAGGTTCCTCATGGAGTGGCTCTGCCGGTGGTCTTGAGACGAAAGCATCCCAAATCCTGCTCCGCGGTTCTTCTGACGCATCACTGTCTCGTAATCCGGGGTGGCGCGGTAGGACGGGGGGATGAGCGCGCTGTGGCGATGCGAGGGGACATAGTCGGGCCTGGTGATGTCGCTGGTGATGGAGGGGTTGGAGGACATGGGTGAGGGCTGGAGGTAGTGCTGGGGATTAGTGAGAGAGCTGGTGCTGTGGGCGCTGTACACACTGCCGTTACGTAACCGCCCCCCGCTGCTGTATTCCAGAGGGGAGCAGTCCAGGCTGGTTTGAGAGTGGTAGTAATAACCGTTCTGATTGTACAGGTTGTCTGTAAGAAAGCAAATTAAAAACACATCCTTACATGGACAATAGACTACATTTATAAAACCATGCAACATTAAATGTAGTTGAAGGAAAAAACTTCTAATGCCATCTTGTGCACTAGGGGTGTAACGGTATCCGTATTCGTCCCGTACCGTCACGGTTCGGACGTCACGGTTCGGCACATGCAGTCACACAACGAAGACGCCTTTTTTTTTTACGAGTGGGAAAAAAGTCTGTCATTCAGGGCAGTATCCACTACACTATTTATAATCCAGGGGGCGGTATTGCGCCTAAAAGCTGTTTGCCAGCCGCCCTTAAACAACAAATGAAGAACTAGAAGAAAAACAACAACAAAACGAACAAAATACAAGAAGAAGAAAAATTAGTATGGCGATTTCAGATAACACAGGAGCTAGAACCCACCTGCTTCTTTTAAATCAGCTGTGTGGGAACATTTCGGGTTCCCTGTGGACTACAATAACGATGGAGTGTGCGAGTGGTGGATCAGACGAGGACGGTGTGTCGGCGTTGTTCTACAGCGGTGCGGTATGCTAATGGGCACATGCCAAACATGCTAAATCATATCAGAAGGCATCACCCAGATTTGCCAATCACCGGAGCCCGGCAAAAGACAACAGCAGTTCAACAGCTTTTCCCCGCTGTTTTTAAGAAGACAATAGACATGAAAGCCGAGAGACCAAAATAAATAACGGAAGCTTTTGGCATATGTTTTTCAACGGCTTTGCGCTCTTGAAACACTTTCTTATTATTTATGATGTCATATTTTCAAGACATTCTTTTTAGTTTTACAGCTTGATGAAACCTTTTTGTTTGACATCAGCCATTATAGATAATATGGCCATCTGAGTGTACTGTGTATGGTTTGTTTTTAACTGTTTAATACAGTTAATTATTCAAAATGTTAGAGTTCTTTATTTTTAAACTGAAACTTGCACTACTGTTCAAACATAAATAACAACAAACCTGGAATTATGCATTTGGGACTGTTTTTTTGCTTTTTCTTGTTGTACCGAACCGTACCCAGACCCCCAAACCGAGGTACGAACCGAACCGTGACTTCTGTGAACCGTTACACCCCTATTGTGCACTGCTTTTCAGGTTCATAGTTGCCATTAATTACCTTGTGATGATGTGTAAGGCTCTGTGAAATGACCATTGTAGTGCATTTGTGGAGGGGGCATCATGTATGCCTGAGGCTTTGGCTGAAACAAACAAGAGAGGAATTCAGCCACAGCTCATATGATCTGAGAACATGATTAAAAATAAGTCTGTATTGTAAAATACATCATGTTCTGAACTGCAAGCTAGAAAATCATCAGGAAAATATGTGCATGGACATTACCAGAGTAATTCTAGTAGAGGATCTCCGTCTGACTGGGTTCACAACGACAGGCTGGGTTTGGCTGGTGGGTAAAACAAATGTGTATTATTATAACTTTTTGAAATATCTTTTTAATTAAAAGACCTTCTTTTCATTGCACACACAGCAGACATGGTTAAGTTCAGACTTAAAAACGCATTGCTCAACTCTTCTCCAGAACACCATGCAACATTTTCCACATGTCTTAAAGCACACCAGCACACATGGTGTAAGAGAAGAGTCATGCGATGTGTTTTTATTTTTGATTGACTCATAAACAGAGCACATTTCTGTTTGTAGAGTATTTTCTAAACACATGAAACTTAATCAAATATAGTATAAACTTAGAAAATGTAGATCTTTAAATATCTGATCAACTCAAAAGTAAATGAATTACTGTAAGAGAGAATACTGAACAGGTAATGCCAAGATTTTAAACAATCTTAAAGATCATCTTGATTTTACAAATAGTGTTGAGAAAAAAGATTTAAAAATTCATTGTAATCATTTTGATACACAAGAATTACAACCAAAGGGCCCTTTCAGCTACAAAGAAGGGAGCTTGTTTGTTGATGCAGTGTTGTCTAGAGTCAATCACAAAGGGATTGGTGTTGGCACCTGCTAAACAGCTGTATGTCAAATATTATGGGCAGGGCTGGTTGTAATGCTCACCCCTTATTAGAAGGCAGAGAGGGACGAGAGAGCATTGGAAAGCGAGGAAAGGATAGAGTGAGAAGGGACTTCTGGGAGCCCTCAGAAGGCAGGGGGTCACACTCCTCTCTGAAGAGAGGAGGAGAGGAGGATAGAAGTGAGGCTACACCGAAGAGGAGACACATGCACGAGACCACAAGGAACAAAGAGACAGGAACTAGGCTAGACATGTAAAAAAACACTTACAGGCTACTCTTGTTTATCTTATAAAACTTGAGTCTGGCCAGACACATCCGGCACACGTATTTGGAGGTTTCCATGTCTTCCTACACAAAGAAAAGAAAAGCATTAGATGTGAACACAAGTAGTACAAAGGTGGTGTTTGCTTAGTTATCTCTAAGTAAAGTTGTTCCTCTGTATGCTATCAAATACTTGCTACATTCAGTTTCGGCTAATGGTATGTGACTTTATGACCAACACATAAGTAACAAACATCCCTAGCAGCAGCCACACCCACACACAAACACAGGTGCATTGTTCAGACTAGCTGATGCTCAGCTCCCTGACGATGGCAATGTCTAATTTTGCCAAATTCAATAAGAGACTGAAATGTCTCCGGGGACGAGCAGGGCAGACAAGGTGCAATGGCAGCAGAGACTTACTGTCTGGAACTGGACACTCTCCTCTCTGTTGGTGAGCTCCAGGACAAAGAAGGACCTGTTATGACTCATGTTGTTAATTTCATTCCACCTACGCAGCCGTTTAAAGCACGGTGGCAGAGAGAGAGAGGGAAAAGAAAAACACATGTCATGGCAGTCACATCACTTTGTGGCATTTTTAAAGAGACTTTGGCACTGCTTAAGCAATGCATGTGGGAGTCTATGAAATAAGGTATGCAGTACTTATAATGGTATATAGATAGATACAGTTCATGGAAGGTCAAGAATGTACTCCCACTCACTAGACAGACAGATAATGCTACAACAATGTTACTTTACTTGACTCATTCCACTTAGGCCACATTCAGACCTAGCATTAAGGAGACCACCTAACCCAAGAATAGCTGTGAGCTGCGCCATAAACTCATTTCATACTGACAGATTCAAAACAATTACTTCTCAGAATCAACATTTTAAAAACCTTTATTCTTTACTGTTAGAAGTAAAGATAATTTGGAACCAATTTCTGGCTAGACTTACCTAAATAAAAGAAGCGGCCTGCCATTTTTATGCTTGACAAAGATGCCATCGAGGCACGACCCCATGGAAACATCTGTGCCTGTACTGTCCTGTTTAGATGCGTGGAGAGGATAAAGACATTCAGAACATAATTTGAGGTGAAAGAATCCAGACACATAGTATGCAGTCTTCTTCAGTGTTTGAGCTGTCGGGGATCAAAGCAACGTGTTAACTTACCTTGGCTTGATAGCTCTCCTGACCATAGCCTTCCATTTTCTCCACCTCCTGCATGTACAACATCTCTGCCTCTGGAGCTGATAAACCCCTGAAAAAGATAACAGGACAAAACCACCATCAAAACCCATTCACCTACAAAAAAACAAGAAAGAATCACTGCATTGCAATAAGTCATGGTAGTAACTTTATGGCCTCAGTAAGATTCTAAATGAACAAAGATAATGCGTGGCTTTAGAGAAGCAAAAAGGACTGCTTTTGTCTGTGCAAAATCCACACAGTACAGACCGGCTGATGCTCACCTGTAGGACTGATACAGAAGAGCCACTTTCTGAGTGGCCTCTTCAAGCACACGCTCATCCTGGATCCAGTCCTGCAAAGAGAATATCACAGTTGAAACAATGATGGTATTTAAATACAAATAAGAACACAATAGCCTCAACAATTTTCATTTCACATGTAAAGGAAAAAAAAAAAAAAAAAAAAGCTTACAATAGGGAACAACGCAAGCTTCTGGAGGAAATCCTGGGAATCATATCGATTGAAGTCTCCAAAGTCAGCTGTGTACAAAAAAAGACAGACTTCATGAGCATACTGTGCGTAACGCCGCGTTCTGAATCAACTTGATTACATGTCCAATTCTGCATTGAGTACAAGCCTAAATAGACATTCAAGGATTGCAGCATGCTGTAATGCCTCTTGGAAAGCTGCAGTGCCACACATTTTAGGAGAGGAGGGGCCCATTTGTAAAGAAAGGGGGATTGCTCTAGCGTCTGACAACGTAGAAGTCCAAAGCTGTTATTAGCTTCAGGCTGTCTGCTAGCAACATTCACAACTATGTTGGCTATCCCAGGAATCAGCCCTGCTTAAACGCTACAACTGCCCTTCACTCCAAAATACCCCAGCCAGGGAGAGAAAATAGGAACTGCACACTGCACTTTTAAAGTCATGCAAAGTCTGCATGACAACTTGAGCAGTGTCTTATCTTTAGTAAACTTGGAAGAAGCTTCTTACAGCTTTTCTTAAAATGTACATAAAGCATGCTGGTCAGTCATTTGAAGATGGCCGCAGCAGTAAGTGATCTCGGAGGCTGTGCTATTCCAACACCCAGGCCAGTAAGTTGCAGGGCCTGATTTAACTTTGCCAGCAGTGTTTGAGATTCTTCTGGTTGGCCAGAAGTGGGAGGACGTGTCAGGGCTAAAACTCTTGCAAGGGGAGTTCACATTCACACACAAACACACCACTGACCCATTTAATAGGCTGGTTTAGGTTTAATGGTGCTTGTTAGGTGCGGTATAATACTTGGGGGAAAAACTAGCAAAAGCCGCCTGTCAATGTTTAAAATTACAAGTTTTCGTTGAAGCTTTATGTCAGGAAACACTAGGCTTGTCAACCCCAGGTTTCTTTTCTCGACTTGTATCATGTATTTATTATTTACCTTGCACTGCCAGGCTAGCTAAACGAATAGCTTGTTCTGGTAAGCAAGAGATCCTGCCCTCCGTAAAATCCTTCTTCATCTGTAGGTAATACTGATATCTGTGGAGAAGAAGAGAGGGTTACTTCTGTGGGGAATAAACAAGCACTCGAAAACAAAAAAATAAATGACTGCTCTGAATTGATATGTGTATTCAAACAAACATAGGTAAAATGAAATCACTGATCAACTGTGCTTGATGAACTTATTTTCTCATTGGCCACTTTAACCAGGCAAAATGATCTCAAAATACCTCTTTGATTGGCATTAATTGTATAAATTGTCACTAAGGTAATAGGCCTAGTACAAGAGACCTCGTGCCACTGACGAAACCTCACCTTGTGATCTCCTGTTGCAGTTGGTTGACACTGGGTATGTAAAACACGACTCCAAAGTAAACGGTGGGCTCTAGCCCATACTTGTCTAGCTGCTTTTTCAGCGGCTTTTCCAAGTCGATCCATCTCTGCTGGTTCTGCTTGTTGAAGTACCACAAGCTGAAGAATGTTATCTAACAAGCAGAGAAGCAAAAACATTACACCTTAGGCATGCTGTGATGAAAGAAACCCTAAGGATATTTTGCTGAAGAATGTTGGTTTTACTATCTGTACTGAACCCCAAATGAATGCACACTAAACATATTCAACTTTAGAACAATGAGTGACTGCTTTAGATCAATACTGCACATCATTACATTCAACACTTATGAAGACCTATAACAAAGACGTTCCCAGATGTATAGGCTGTTGGCAGTCCCTGTTCCGTCTTGTGACTGCCTGAACATCTCACAATAAACACTGGTAAGAAAAGTAACCCCTATAAGCTTGCTGTCTACCAAAGACACATTTGCTGAAAGAGGCCTTTTGTGATTTGCAGCGACTCTCAAATCACAACTAGAAACATGGCCAACATAACAGCACTGTTTGGAAACTATTATTTAAAGCTATGTGGCCATTAATAAAAATGTTGTTTAAATAATAATGATCTGGAGGAGAGAAAATAGTAACACATAAGACAGTGGTTGTAAATATCATCCCTAAATCAAGTAAAGTGACAGAACATGCTCTACGAGAGATGGATCGAGAACCACATGATTGCACACAAAAAACCTAGTGATATAAAAAAAAAACAATATGGTTATTGCTCTGAATACAAGAAAACATTTAAATGTGGCTAGAGGCTTAGTCCCGCTAGCCACTTTGCATCAAAATAACAGACACTGTGATTTAGTGCATGTTCCCAGGCAAAACACCTGTTTGTATAGCAGTATCTATAGTTAATTTGAGTTGTGTCTATCAATGACAGCATCTATTTCAGCTCATTGCATTATTCAATTCTGACTCACAGTTTTTCTTGAACATATTGTTCATGATTTGAGAGCTGGAACTTTTGTTTAAAAGGAAATAGAAAAAAGAAAGTGAATGTGGGCAACAAGTTGTGATGAGTTGATAACATGCATGTTATTACATATTAATACAGAATATGTAATTAACACATTTCCAAAAGATAAGTATCTGAGATGATTCTCAACAAGTATATAAGAGAGAACAATCTGCACTTGTTTTGGATGAAAAAACAGACATACCTCTCTTAACTCAAGTCTCTGAGCAACTGCTTCCAAACATTCCTGCCCGGTGCTCTCCACTGAAAGTGTAAACTCAACAAACTCTCCATTGAGCAGCTGGATCCGAGTGACAAGACAGCTCTTGCTTGAAACAGTATACCTTCGAGTCCTTTTGAGTTTTAAGCCAAATGGCAAGGGCATGTTTCACACTTTTCCAAGAGGGAGCTATTCACTTAGTCCAGATAAATAGTTCTCCTTGCTGTCCCCTCGAACACTGTGTGAATGTTACATCTCATGAGGTTCATCATCAACAGACAGATCTGAAAAGAGACATAAATTCACAAAAATTACATAATGATATAAAATAGAAAACTTGGAATAGGATGATAAATGCCATGATGAATCACAACCATAGTGTTCTTACTCATCACAAAAGAAACTCATCACAACACATCATCACAAACTCATCACAACAGTTTGTTCACAGCTAGTCAGTCTGTCACCCTGAACCAGACGCCAGACCAGACAACACAAGACTTATCGAAGAGTAATCTTCTTAAATTAGGCATTTTTTTTAAATACCTGACTTGGCTACCAATTCATAATGCAGTTCTCTAAGTTTACACTCAAAAAAACATTTAAAGCAAATCAATAGACCGCTATTTGTAATAGGCCTCCTGACCTGTGTCATTTACATTGTATAACACGGTATGCAAGCCATATTCCACGATTGTGGTCAAATGAAACCCTTCCAGTGAATAGTCTGATACAAACACTGACAAGAGCAACCAGATTCAATACGCAGCAAGCTACTACTGTCGAACACAATACTGCAAAATCCCTGCTGCTTTCCAACTCAAACATACAACCATTGTATTACAACGGTTATACTCTATAACTTAACCGACTTAGCATTACTGAAACTAAAGGATGGGTTTCCCAAATATTTGTTAATTTCCGCTCTAACTTCCTACTTTTCTTTTGTCGTTTTGATACATCCATAACTTTAACCGTTACCTACAACTGGCGTCAAATTAGCTTGAATGCTAACATGCTAACTTGTGTTCCAGCAAATAGACGACACCCTTGGGAAGCTGACGTCGCCGGTAAATATTTTGGCCAAAAACGTTAACGTTACCGTTAGCCACCAGATGCAAAAAAGTAGTCCAACTAGGATTCAGTCCTGACGGATTCCGCCATCAAGGTCAATGGCTCACTCTACTGTTTAGATATGTTTCTAAATTAGAGACAGCCTGTTGGTCTGTAGTTTGTTGGTGGATCAAAACTAACGTAGCACCGTAGCACCCCATGCCTCTTGGTCCAACAGTTCACTCAAGTTCCAAGCGTGTTTCGCTTCCTGGGATTGGAAGAGCAACAAGCGTATTCCGTCTACATCCGCGGCACTATAGCTATATTACCTGTCCTTCAACATCTTAGAAATCACCTTATAACATTGGAATATATACTGACTTTTCAATAATTGCATACACAATATATGATTAAACGTACCTGTTTGAGCAGACGTTTCAAAATGCATTATAGTGCATCCGTGGCGGAGGAATACACTTAGGTTTTCAGAGCCATGACATCACACTGCTGGAATGCGGAGCGGTGAAAATGCCAGAAATGGGACAGCTGCCTGGAACTGCTGGCCGCTGACCTGTCTGTTTACCTTTACATCGGCTGACAGCTGTAATTGCAAACATAGATTATTTTTGCTAAAATGTAAAAGTCTCCCTCAATGTGGTAATAATGGCCGCGCTTGTTGCAGGTTGCATATCGAATAATTATCAGTTTGTAATAAAGTGTTAATAATAAAAATGCCAGGATACAAGGATCAAAAGAAATGTATTGCAATTGTAAAGACACTTTCCGGTGACAATCATCTCCTAGTTGCTACATCTCTGAGGCATATGTCAAGTCAAACACACTGGAAAATGTTTATGTTTCTTTACAACAAGTGTTGTTGTCGTTTTTTGGAAATCAACAAATGTAAACAGCAGCTACATTAAGACTATAGGTAAACTCTGCAATCGACTAAATCAAAATGAAACCACACATTTCACACATCTGACATCAGTGCTATCATTTGCAAATTGGCTATTCTCACTATAGTGATACCACAGGGCAATCTAGAAAATGTAATCTGAGGGTCAATTGAAGATATACCACTACAGCCAGTAAGTGGCCACTTTACAATATCCCAAATTAGGAATTATAATTTCTCTGTTGTACTTGAAAAACCCTTTTTATTTTTGTAAACATTTCTTTTAAAAATTCAGAATAGAACAACACCATTTTGGTGGGGTTTGTAAAAAAAAAATTGGACAACACAACACAACCAGTGATAAATCACAAATACAAAACTATACTTTCAGACATTTCAAATATTACATTTCTCTCTGGAAAAAACACTCACTTGGTAACAAGAATATAAAAGAACATTCAATCACAGAATACAGGTAAAACTCAGAACTCGTCATCACTGACAGACGCAACTGAATGTAAAGGTTGCTCAGCAACAGTATCCTCATTGCCGTGGTTTTTATTGCTGGATACATGAAGCGACTCTGACAAACTTCTCCCCAGATCTTCAAGTTCTTTAGATTGTCCATCATAACTGACTTCTTCTTGGTCTCGGTCACTGGTTATGGGGGTAACTTCATGGTTTTCAGAGGTGACTTCTTTGTTTGACTCAGTTGTGCCAGTTTGATTTTGATGGACTTCTTCACTGATTTCCGTATTATTAGAAACATGGTCACTTAGACAAGGAGAGCTATTGCCTTCTTCCTGATTGTCAACTGCTTCGTCCTTTTCGTTTGTTTCAGTTGGTGAGGCAGCAGTCGTTCCAGGAGAGTATAAGGGCGTAGACACCAAGAGGGGATCAGCATAATCTTGCAAATCGCAGGATTTAATAAGTGATGCATAGGAAAGAAGGTCATCGTCTTTTTTGGTCTTTTCTTGTTTCCCTCCTGATTCAACATATGGCAAGGATGAATCACCCCGATCATTCTTCTTTTTTTCTATCTCTGTACTGGGGGTGAATGAGTTGGCTGGCTCTTCAAACTCTTTACGCAGCACTTCCAGAAGGTGGCGCATTTTACCCTAAAAACAAACAATATAATCAGATGCAAGAAAAAAGTCCTTTGTGACAATGTTTTACATTTCCTTTTAAATTTGTATTTTGTATTTAAAGCTGTAAGCCGAACACTTAAAAAAGACTTGCTTAACATATTCTGCAAAAAGTCACTAACCACATCAAGCTGATGCCGATTCATGTCGATATGGCGATTCATCACCCGGTCTAAGAACCTAGAAGAGGACACAGAGAGATGGTTTAACAATATAATCAAATATGGAACACATGCCTATTAAAAAAGTGCCATCCTGTAAATGTCTGTAGCATAACATAAAGCAGTTCATAGAAAACATGACAAACCTGTCAGAGATGTGCCCCTTGGACAATATATCCTCTGTTACAGCAGAAATGAATTCGAGGTACATTAATTCTTCTTCCCTGTTAAACAAAAATTAGAATGAGCAACTTCCCAGAGACATTATTGTTCATGGATCCAAAGAATCACAGAAGCGTCGTACTGTCAACCCCTATACATCTGGCAAGAGCTTTGGTTTATATGAATTAAAAGCTGTTTAAGGATTAGACATTATCAAAGATAACTTACTCTGCAGATAAACTTTTGTTGATGGAAGATTTATCGCCATCCAGTGAGCCCCTAATAAATGAGAATTTAATTATTTTAGGACTTTAAACACAAAATACACCAGGTATAACATTTGGTTTAAAATAAAACATAGCATTTACAGTCTATGATTTCACCTGGATGAGGAGTCAAATAAATCACGGTCTCTGCTCTTGTGTGCTCGACTCTGTTGTCTCGATGCAGAGAAATATGTGCCATTGAATTCTTCTTCAGACCACTCGTGCTCTGTATGAAATCCCTGCTAAACAAAATGGATTGAATGAGGACATTAAATATTGCCAAGACTGCCTCACGATTAAATGTTTAATGTAGCTGTAAATACTTAAGTTCTTCATGGTCTAAACAAGGGATGATAAACAACTCGAGGATTTACACTGAACAAAAATATAAATGCAACACTTTTGTTTTTGCTCCCATTTTTCATGAGATGAACTCAAAGATCTAAAACATTTTCTATATACACAAAATAACCATTTCTCTCAAATATTGTTCACAAATCTGAAAAAATCTGTGATAGTGAGCACTTCTCCTTTGCCGAGATAATCCATCCCACCTCACAGGTGTGGCATATCAAGATGCTGATTAGACAGCATGATTATTGCACAGGTGTGCCTTAGGCTGGCCACAATAAAAGGCCACTCTGAAACGTGCAGTTTTGCTTTATTGGGGGGGTCTGGGGGGGTCCGAAAACCAGTCAGTATCTGGTGTGACCACCATTTGCCTCATGCAGTGCAACACATCTCCTTCGCATAGAGTTGATCAGGTTGTTGATTGTGGCCTGTGGAATGTTGGTCCACTCCTCTTCAATGGCTGTGCGAAGTTGCTGGATATTGGCAGGAACTGGAACACGCTGTCGTATACGCCGATCCAGAGCATCCCAAACATGCTCAATGGGTGACATGTCCGGTGAGTATGCTGGCCATGCAAGAACTGGGATGTTTTCAGCCTCCAGGAATTGTGTACAGATCCTTGCAACATGGGGCCGTGCATTATCATGCTGCAACAAATCTCCAGGTTCACTTTGAAATCTATAAAGGGAGACTTGGCCTTTATAATTTGGAATTGAAAAACGCACGACAATTGTTCTTCTCTGACATCATTACCAAAAACAAAAACAACGCACGTGCCTTGTTTGTTACCGTCGACAGACTAACTAACCCCCCAGTGTCAGTAGCCTCTGAATTTCTATCCACCAGGGCGTGCAATGATTTTGCCTCCTTTTTCACTGACAAAATTCAGAAAATCAGACAAGCAGTCAGTGCCTCTGCATCAGGAACAGCAAATGTGTTGTCCCTATCTCCACTTAACATCAATTCAGACATCATGACACAATTCCATCAGATTAATGATAAAAACCTAGAGGACATTATTCAACTTCTGAAATCCTCCTCCTGCTGCCTTGATATTATTCCAACAGGATTTTTCAAAGATGTTTTGCCTTGCATGGCCTCAGATCTACTTCATATAGTAAACAAATCTCTTCACTCAGGTATTTTTCCACAGGCCCTGAAAACTGCAGTCATTAAACCGCTCTTATAAAAGAATAATCTAGATGCTTCAGTAATGAACAATTACAGGCCCATATCAAACCTGCCATTTCTAGGTAAAATCATTGAAAAAGTTGTTTTTCAACAGTTGAGTAATTTCTTGCATTTAAATAACTGTTTTGATGTGTTCCAGTCAGGCTTTCGTCCAAACCACAGCACTGAGACTGCTCTTGTAAAGGTCTTTAATGACATCCACTTAAACACAGACAGTGGCAGAACTTCAGTGTTAGTATTATTAGATCTCAGTGCTGCGTTTGACACTGTTGACCACAGCATATTACTAGACCGACTGGAAAACTGGGTGGGACTTTCGGAAACAGTTCTGAATTGGTTTGAATCCTACTTAAAGGATAGAAACAACTTTGTTTCTATAGGTAAATACACATCTGAGTTGACAAATATGACATGTGGGGTTCCTCAAGGCTCCATCTTGGGGCCTCTTCTCTTTAACATCTACATGCTACCACTGGCTCAGATAATGAAGAACAACAAAATAAGTTACCATAGCTATGCAGATGACACACAAATTTACGTAACAATTTCACCAGGAGACTATGCTCCAATTCAAACACTGAGTAAGTGCATTGAACAAATCAATGACTGGATGTGCCAGAACTTTCTCCAATTAAACAAAGATAAAACTGAGGTAATGGTTTTTGGAGCCAAGTCAGAACGTATAAAAGTTAGCACTGAGCTTCAGTGTGCAATGTTCAAAACAACAGATAAAGCCAGAAATCTAGGTGTAGTCATGGACTCTGACCTGAGTTTCAACAGTCACATTAAAACTGTTACTAAATCAGCCTACTATCACCTAAAGAATATATCTAGGATTAAAAGACTAATGTCACAGCAGGATTTGGAAAAACTTGTCCATGCTTTTATCTTCAGTAGACTCGACTACTGCAATGGTGTCTTCACAGGTCTCACTAAAAAATCTATTAGAAAGCTGCAGCTAATTCAGAACGCCGCTGCTCGAGTCCTCACTAACACTAAGAAAGTGGATCACATCACTCCAGTTCTGAAGTCTTTACACTGGCTTCCTGTGTGTCAAAGAATAGATTTCAAAATACTGCTGCTGGT